ATTTTAGCATGATTTAGTACTTTTAAATTATGATCATTTTCATTATGACTTTGCAATATTTATTTTATATGATGATTTCATTATTATTTTTTATTGAATATTTTAGTGTCATCAATACCCATCTCATATTTTGTGTTATTTTCTTAAGAAACACCTTAGATAATTGTATTTTGGTTGGACTAAAGAAATATTTGGAGCACAAGTTAATTATATGTTTGTATGCAAACTTTACCGAAAAAATCCAAAAATCTGAAAAAATCCGAGGTTTATTAGTTTGGTTTGATTTATAAATTTAAAAATTTGACACAATGGTTTGGTTTGGTATTTGAAAAACCCGAACCAACCCGAGGTTGAAAAACCCGAAAAAAATCCGAATTTTATTAGTTTGGTTTGGTTTATAAATTTAAAATTTTTACACAAATGATTTGGTTTAATATTTGAAAAACCCGAACCAACCCGGTCATGTACACCCCTAGTTCATAGGTTTGTGTGTTGTGTGATTAAGATATCAAATTTTCTATCGTTCTCACCTATTGGTTGTGGTGGCAAACATTAAGATGCACCATAATATCTTAATTTTACTTGCTTGAGAAAGAGAACTAAGATTTGGTAAAAGAAGAGTGCATGAAGTCAAAGGGCTAACCTTTGTATAATAGATTAGCTTAGGATCGATACATGGAATAATAAGTTGTTTTTATCAACATCTTAGGAAAAATTGAGTGATGGGTGCATAAACCTTATAATTGCAAAGAATAGTGTGTTTGATACGCTTAATGATATAGTTTTACGTATAAAAGTTATTCTACAATGGATACTAACGTGTCCAATTATAGAAAATGAAAGATTTCTGTGGCATGTTCATTTTGTAAGGTGGGGAGTGATGGATAGGTGATGAGTCCAAGTTTTAGTGATTGTATATAAGACGGTGGTTTATGTGATGTGATGTGAACTCACATGTTTCCTTCCTAAATTGGTCTTTAGTTATTCAATCGATCTGTTTTGAGATGTTCATATATAGTTGAGATGTTCATGTTCTTCCCATCTCTATGTTCCCATAGTTTTGTATAAGTAAATGTACAGATGGGTCGTTTATCATAGATTTCCACAATTAGTGTTACTACTCACCTAGTCCACAATGGGCAAAAAAGTCTTCTATAAAAATAAGAATATAAAACGCTTCTCCTTCTCCTCTGCCAATGATACATGGGGATTTCAATTCCACTTCCCCTATTCCCCTATATTCCCATCTTCAAAACTGACTGTCACTTGCAGCTTCAACTTAATTAATTTTGAAAACCCCACATTTTTAAATTCAGGATCCAATCATGGCTCCAACTAACTTCAATCCACTAAATAGACATATGCACAAATAACCACAACAGTCATTAATTATCTGAATTCTGAGACTACACTCAAGACAAATGTCAGTCTCATCACCACCAAGAAAAATCATTTCATCTGTGCTTCCTCCAGAAACCACTTCTCTCATGAAATAAAAGATCCCTAAGTTTGACACATTTACATCTGCTTGTCATCCGGCACGAGTTTTTCACTTTCAAACCACCAACTAGTGATGTACATAAGGCATGGCTCCACCAACATATTGGGTTTTTGCATCAGCACTGACCTGAACCTGAAACATTACAAATACGACACTTGTATTATAGCTAATTTAAAGTTTGGACAAAGCTTAAGTTGCATACATGCCAACTAGCATGTCCTCTTTGTAGGTTGTACCATTGATCAAAAGTCAAAACAGGTGGAACCAACTAAATAATACTTCTTTTAAATAGGAAACTCCCTACAAAAGTACAAATTTTTGCTTCTCCTGAGGGCCAAAGGCAAGCATCTATCTATATCCATACTATTCCACAAGTCGGAAAGCACAAAGTTAAGAGTTCAAAGACTAAAATAGCCCTCAAAAGTTGAATGGCTATATTGCCCTTCATGAGAACATTATTCTTCTGTGCAAAAATGTAAATGTACATTTATAAATATGACAGATAAAATAATGAAATAGAAGCATTGGAAACCCTTTGACACTTGAGATGACCAACTTTTAATAAAAACCATTTATTTTCCTGTGAAAGTATGTCAAAGATCACAGAAAATGAAAAGTCCTTCAAGAACAATAAAGAATATATACTCCATCAAAAAACAATAAAGAATATATACTCATGTCCTAAACAGCATAGGGAGAAGACTCCAGCATGGCAACATTGGTGGAAAAATAGAAAATGAGCATTTTGATTCTTTAGGCTTTGATGATGGTTTGAATGAGCCTTTATTTGGGTACCAAAACTACAATAACAATGATCATGTAATTTCTGTATTGATACTTATTTTCTAGATTTATTTGATGAAACTTTTTGTGGTGTGTTGTAATATTAATAAGCTTTTACAGGTATTCCTTGAAGTTATCTTCAAGATAATTACTTCTTTGTTTTTGGGAATATTTGTGCTTTGTTTTCTGGATTTGTATCTTTTGATAGGGTTTATCAGTTGCAATCAATTATGTTTGTAGGCTTATGTTGTGACAAAGAAGATTTAGATTGGATTATGAACTGGAAATTCTTTCATATAGGTATGTATACTTGCATTGGACCTGCTATTTATCTCCAAGCTCTACAAGGGTTGCTCCGGAAGATGGAGGCATGTGAACACATTTTAATGCCATCCAGGGATTCCACATCACGAAGAGTAACTTAGGAGACGAAATGGAAGTAGGGGGGTCAGTTTCAACATACGGATCCACATACGATCAGCATGATCAACATATGGACCGTATCTTGACTGTAAGTTAGATGCGGCTGGAACAGAAGACATATGGGACGCATAATCAACATGCGGGCCCATACATCAGACTGTATGTCCAAAGCTAAAGTGTCAGACTCTATCCTCAGAAGCTACAGCACACGAAGCCACATACGGGCCGCAGAATGCACATACCCCGTACCTCAGACCATCCATCAAGATTCGGGAGATGCTAATCAAAAGACTGAGCAACATGTGGACTGCAGATTCCATCTACGGACCACCCGTCAGGCTTGACTGCGCACTTGCATTATTTTTGCAATATTTGGAATGCCACTTTTGGCTATTTATATAAAAATAGTTAACCTAAAACTATAAATAGTAGAGAAAAGCTCATTTAGACTTTAACAATTTTAATTTGATGAGAAATACTCTTGAGAGAGTGGAGCTATGGCTAGGGGTGTCAAATGGGGGGGTTGGGATGAAATTGAAGATATTAAAATGGGTTGAAATAGAAATAGGGTTGGGTCTTGACCCGCCCAAATTTACTTTGGGCTCAAATGGGCTAAAATATAGGTTGGATCTTGACCCGCTTAATCTCAATAATTTTAACATTTTGTTATTTAAGTTTTATAACCACAATTTCAATTTCAACTCAAGAAGATTAAAAAAAAAAGTTACAAATGGATAGATAGATCCTAAAAGATATAAAATAAATAGTAATTCATACCTTCAATATAAAAACATACATTACATCAATGCAAATAGTCTTAAGACGGGTTGAAATTGAAGATTAAATTGGGCTCAATTGGAGATTATTTTAAAATGGGTTGAGATGGAATCCAATTCAAATTATCTTGAACTCAACCCATAAAATTCTGGACGGGTTACCTATATTTGAGCTCATTTTGATACCCCTAGCTATGGCCTTTGCTGCTGAAGGATTGCTTGCTTGAGGAATCATTCCTCTTGAAGGTTATCTAGAGAGATTGCTTGCATGAGAAATTCTTCCTCCTGAGGCTTATCTAAGAGATTAGATGCTTATTTGGTTCTATCGATTGGGGGTTTTAGCTATCATAAAGCTTTATATACCAATTAATTCATTATTGTGTCAATCTATCAATCTTTTCTATCTTTCTTTTTTTGAAATTGGTAACAAGTATTCTTCAGCATTAAGGGTATGCTGGCCACCTCCAAAAGTGTGCTTACATAGGTAGCTAATTACAATAAGCCTAGGAAATTCACTATCTGTATTTCATTTACTATACATTGCTCTTTACACCAAAAACATAAAGTAGAAATGCATTTCCCTTTGATCTTTTGAATGGAGTTTGATCCTCCTTTGAAAATTCTCTCATTCCTTTCCTTCCATATGGTCCACCATATGCAAGCTGGGACAGTTTTCCACCATCTCTTTTGGCTTTTGCTTCCTCCCCTTCTGATCCAGCAGCTCAATAGATCAGCAGTGTGCTCTGGCATTGTCCAGCTTTCCCAGCTAAGGTAATGTATAGGGACCAAACTTGAGAAGTTACCTTGCAGTGGAGGAATAGGTGGTTGTTTGTTTCAACGGGTTCCATACAAAGAGAGCATGTGGAATCTAAATGAAATTTCCTTTCCTGTAATTCCTCGTGGGTGAGACATGCCTTCCTTACTACCACCCAGGAGAAGCATTTCACTTTAGAAGGTGCCATGCTTCTCCATGTAGCTTTCCAAGGTCCTCTATCTCTTTCTGTCATCTCTAGAAGGCCCCTTTTGTAGACTCTGTTGACTGAAAATTTGCCAACAGTGTTGTGCCTCCACTTCATGATGTCAGGTTCTTTGGTAGTCCCTGTGAAGGTTCCTATTTTGCCAAGTAGAGCAGCCACTCTTTCAACCTCCCAATCATTCAAAAACCTTCTAAAAATTAGGTTCCATCCTTGAGTTGTCCAGATGTTCTCTATTGTGTTATTTTGGTTGCTGTTGATGTTGAAGAGGCTGGGAAAGCGTCTTGCAAAGTGCCTTGACCATCCCAGTTATCCTTCCAGAAGAAGACTTTTTTGGCCATTGCCAACTAGGAAAGTATTGTCCTCCCCAGGTTGGTCCAAAGAGACTTGATTGTCCTCCATAGTCCAACTCCATAGGTGTTAGTGGCCTCATCAGCGCACCACTACCCATTTTGTCCGTACTTCTGTTGTATTACATTCTTCCACAAGGCTGGACTGTCTTCAGCATATCTCCACAACCATTTCTTGAGCATACTGTTGTTTTGTAGCTTTAGATTTCTGACTCCCATACCTCCATGCTCCTTACTCTTTTGCACTATGTTCCATTTCACTAGATTGTAACCTTTATGCTCCTTTTTGCCATGCCATAGGAAGTTTCTTCTAAATTTATCTAGGACTTTGAGCACTTCAGGAGATAAGGGGATAAGGGGTCCCCTTGTCTTGGCCCTTTTTCTGCTGAAAAAAAACAATTGGTTCTCCATTTACCAGAATTGAGAACCTGGTGGTTTTAATGCAAAAACTTATCTAATTTAGCCATCTTCTTCCAAAACCCACTTGCCTGAGGATGTTGAGTAAGAACTTCCAATTGATGTGGTCAAACGCCTTTTCAATGTCTAATTTGCACATCACCCCTGGTTCTGAGCCTCTCAAACTGGTGTCTACACACTCACTTGCCACCAAAGTTGCATCCATGATTTGCCTTCCTCTAATAAAGGCCATTTGATGAGGGTTTATTAGCTTATCCATCACTCTCTTTAACCTTTCAGCTAGTACTTTTGCAATGATCTTGTACATTCCCGTGATGAGACTTATTGGTCTGAAGTCTCTCAACTCGGTTGCACCCTCCTTCTTTTGGATAAGAGCTACAAATGTGCCATTGAAGCTCTTCTCAAAAACCTGTTGCGAATGGAAATTCGTAGGGTAAGTATTATATTTGACTTCAACATTTCCCATAAAGCAATGAAGAATGGCATTGGGAATCCATCAGGGCTTGGGGCCTTGTCAATGGCCACACTGTTTAAGCCCCTCTAATATTTCATCCTCTTCAAATTGTCTTTCCAGCCACATCTGCTCTTCAGTGGAGATCCTGGTATTCCCTTGGAGTGTGAAATCCGGTCTCCAATTCTCAGACTCCTTGTAGAGTTCCTGATAAAAGCTCACTATGGAATTGTTTATTTCTTCGGGATTAGTAACTTTCTTGGTGTTGTGGGTCTCAGTCTTCTAATGTTAGCTCTCTGGCAGGCTAATCGATCTCTGCTTGATTGGCCCTAACTGCATGATTGATCTGACGGTTCAGCCCATACTTCACAGAGTGACATCAGATCACTCTCCCATAATGTTACAATGCGGTGCTTGGGAAAATGCAAAGTCATACTTCAAATTTGAGAACTGGTGGTTGGACATAGAGGGTTTCAATGAAAAAAATTAAAGGATGGTGGAACTCCTTCAGTTTCATAGGGAAACCTGACTATGTCTTGGTTGCAAAGCTCAAAGCACTAAAAGAAAAGCTGAAAGAATGGAGCAAAACTGCACAAGGGAACTTGGGAACACAAAAACAAAATGTCTTGAAACAGCTAGCTGAATTAGAGGAGATACAGGAGAACAGATCCCTGAGGCCATAAGAGATAACCTCTAAAACAGCATTAATCAGTGAGTTCGAAGACATAGCTAAAAGGGAGGAAATAGCTTGGAGGCAAAGATCTAGGGCAGTGTGGCTAGAGCAAGGGATAGAAACACTAATTTCTTCCACAGAACTGCAAATGCACACAGGAGAATTAATACAATCTCAAAGTTGAAAGTGAGAGGAGAAAATTTGACTGAACCAGAGGAGATACAGAAGGAGATAGTAACTTATTATGAGGAACTATACTCTAAGCCAGAAGAATGGAGACCTTAC